TGATACTTTATTAAAGCAGTGATTTAGCTGAGAGCATCTGGGACACTTTCAAGAAAGACCTTGCTGGTTGTAGCAACCTTGTTAGTTCAAGCATGAATATAATAGGAGCTGTAGAGTCTGATATGCTGAGCCTTTTGTACCTCTTCTTTCAACTCTGTATTGTGTGGGGAACAAAAGCAAGATTTATTATATCACCAATTATTTACTGATTAACCTTGCTATTATTTCAATGTCAGGTACAAGGGAAAGAGTTACCGGGCCACTGTGGAAATAGTCCGAACTGCAGACCGCGTTGCAGACTTCTGCAGGAAAACCTGCATCAAGCTAGAGTGCTGCCCAAACCTGTTTGGACCTCGCATGGTTCTGGAGCGCTGCTCTGAGAACTGCTCTGTTCTCACCAAGACCAAATACAGTAGGTGGTTTACAGCAGCACGGACTGCTGACTGTTGTGACTCCACATTATTGATCAGATGATCTTGGGTAGCTGCTTTCTCTCTCTAATTGCAATGATTGTAATAGCTTAGAAATCTCTATACTTGCTTGTCAGTTGTGACCTTAATTCTAAACATAATGCAGATGTCCTTTAGTTGAACACAAAGTTCATTAATTTCTTCTTTTGCAGAAATGTTCAGTTATTTTCATTTGTGTTGCTCATGAATAGAAATGATCAGCGAGTACATAAATGCTCCTTTAATGAATACAGAAATTCTGTGAAGCAGAAGGGTAAAATTGGTGATTTAGAAATTGCAATAACTTTCCATACTGGCAATGAATGTATGGTTTGCTAAAAATATGAGTCAGAATCAGCCTCTTTCATCTTCTGCTGAACTGTATCGACAGCACAGTACTCAGATTTGTTGATTTGTTTACTTGCTGCTGTGCTGCGCTGTTGGGGTTACGAAACTGATGCAATTTGATAGCAACAGACAAATGATTATACTTTCTCTTTTGTCTCTTATGTTTTCCAGACAGCACACATCCTCTACAACCACAGTCTTATTTATCGATGCTTGTCCAGTAAAGAATACATTTATTAAAAAATACTCATCAGTTTTATTGACTGATTTCCTTCTGTCTCAATAATGTATTAATGCCTGTGCCAAATGCAACGTTTCACAATAAGCCTGTTGTCATGTCAACAGCTTATTACTATGGAAAGAAGAAGAGTAAACGCGTCGGCCGTCCACCTGGGGGCCACTCCAACCTGGAGGGTGGAGTGAAGAGAAGAGGGAGGAGGAGGAAGAGGAGAAAGCAGCTGTTTGTCCATAAGAAGAGACGCTCCTCAGCCTCAGTGGACAACACACCTGCAGGGTCTCCACAGGTAACACACACTGTTACACTAAATTCATTAACTTTGACTCCTCCTCACACTTAACTTGAATCTGTACTAATGGACTGCTTGTTGTCCTTGTGTTTTGCTCACAGGGCAGTGGAGAGGAAGAAGACCTGGATGAAGATGACTCCCTGAGTGACTCTGGCTCTGAGCTGCAGGACGATCTCCAGGATGATTCTGAGCAATCAGTTGGGAAATCTCAGCCCACCACGCCGTCCCCCTCCCCACCAGCAACACCCAGGCCCACCCGCCGGCGCCGGAAACCCCACTCACCTTCATTCTCTGATGACGAGAACCGCCCTCCTTCACCAAAGGTAAAGACAGTCATGAAGATTTTTGATATAACAATAAATACTGAAACAGTTTGAAAATATTTATCTACTGCCAGTTTCATAGCAAATTTTGCTCTCTAGACAGTGTGTCTTCAAAGAAATACTTCACTCATAAAAATCAGCATTTGTGTATCAGTTACTTATCTTTTTACTTTGAATTTGTTTAGAAAACGGTAGAAACCTCCACGGTGAAAGAAGAATCCATAAATGGCAAACATTCTTGATGAATCACAGTAAAGGGGGACCACGTTAAACAACAGCAAAACTGTATCAAAACAAACTCTTATACAACTTGTGCAGTATAATCCAAGTCTCATTTATCTAGTTGTATTCTCACTTTACTATTAAAAACACTTTTGCATAAGAGCGTCCAACTAAACTGCTTATTGATGCCTTAGATTGTGTATGTGTTTTGAACACTAAGGTTTTTTATGTGCTTTGTAAGTACTGTGTGTGTGACTGGATAAATAAGACTTGGATTATATTGAAAGAGTTGTGTGAGAGTTTGTAAATGGATGTTTTGATAAAGTTTTGCTACAGTCCCCCTTTTACCTCAATTCATCACATTTTTTCCCCATTTTTGGATTCTTCGTCACCATTAAGGCATGCGAGAAAAATGTCGTCAGTGTAACATGGAGTGAGTCATCGATAAACAGATGGTGCTTTTGTGGGTGCAGTATTCCTTTAATAAATACTCTATTGTGTACCACTAGGCATAAAATAAAAACTCCTGCCTGTACAAAATTTTAGATTTAATACACAATCCCATCTCTGTGTCCTTTCCTTCAAATAAAACTGCCTTTTCCACCTACTTAAATCATTTCAATCAAATTTCTAATGATGTTCTCACTGTGACCTAAGTTTGCTTTAAGCAGCTTATGGGGAAATCAACAAAACTGAAACAGCCAGTGTTTCTTTTATGACATGTTCGAGCCTGATACCCTTCACCTCAGCATGAACTGTGAGCCTTTCCACTTGAGCTGGGAGATTTCTTAGAGTCTCCGTCTGTGTGTTTATAGACCTCAAAGATTGAGCCTCCTCAGAAGTTGTGTTTGGACACCAGCCCGCTGGAGTGGAGCGTTACTGATGTGGTTCGCTTCATCAGGACCACCGACTGTGCACCTCTTGCACGGATTTTCTTGGATCAGGTAAGAAGTACTCATGTACTCAGCAGCCACTCAGGATGAGAGCTCACTCCTCTCTGCTGCAATAAGTGCATTTTACACTTGTACTGTGCACATTGTCACAAATACAAAACACCACCTTCACTAGATAGTAGAGGCAAAACTAATTTTAAAACTGCACCTAATACAAATGTATGTTGTTGTAGGAGATTGACGGACAGGCACTGCTGCTGTTGAACCTCCCAACAGTGCAAGAGTGCATGGACCTGAAGCTGGGACCGGCCATCAAGCTGTGCCACCACATCGAGAGGGTCAAGCTGGCATTTTATCAGCAGTTTGCTACGTAGCTGACGGGGAATGAACACGGACATGACTACATACTGTTCTGTGTATTAATTCTGTGAAAAAAAAACAACACACTGTATTTTCCAATTTTAACATTTCCAACACTGGACATCCTTTAGAATCCTTCATATATGCCATTGTGTCAGAAAAGCATGGACATGAGGTGGACAAAGCATCATTTTCATCACTGAAAAAAGAGCAAAGAAGAAGAGCTACATACGGCAAAAAAAAAACAGTTCAGGTGCTCTTTAGACACGAGAGGAGTGAAAGACAGAATTCAAGACACTTTGATGTCATAAATAACTGTACAAGCCTTTTTTAATTCCAGTAGATTTTGTAAAATAAAGTAAAAAAGCAAGCCATCAAGGACTTAAAAGTTCTAGCCTATTTTAATAAAGGCTTCTTAACTTATTTGCATCCTCAGAGTGTCTCGCATTCTCCTCTTTTACTTCCTCTGTCTGTGTGAGGAGGACTGAGTGCCAGTGCTACAACTCCATTGGTCTGTTGTGTCCATTTATGACTTCCCGCCTGCCCTGCTGTCTCTAAAAGGGAACACCACTAAATCGCAGCTTTTACTTATTGAACTCAACCGTTGAATATTTGGTATCTTCCACTCGACATTTGCTTTTGTCTGTTGGAGTCAGGAATGAGGTGGTCTGGCCTCGTAATCTGGTGATTTCACACTGAAGTCTGAATTCATTGAAAATATCTTTCAACACTTTTGTGCAGATAAGGCCAAACGCAGTATATGAGAGGCCATTTATATCGAAGCACTTAAAAACATTGTTTTTTACAAAATCCATTTCACTGTAAAGCTCCAAGCTGTATCTGGGAAGCTTTGTCTCAGTCTTTCTAGAGACTCAGAGCTCTACAAGTTGCAAAGAATTAATACAGCATGCAAGTTTATTTATTGTGGTTATATTGAACTAGATATACTAATAGTAGATTTGAAAGAACGGTCATAGTGTGCTGTGCTAGGTCAGGAATTTGATTTCAGTGTGAACACCAGACATGTATACTCTACTAACACCATTTGCAAATGTTATCAGGCTGAATTAAGATACAATCTGCTCAACAAGAGATGTAAAGGGGGCCTTTATCTTAGGAGATCAAATTGCTTTCTTGTTCAAGCTTCTACAGTATGTAAGAGCAGTTTACATTGTAAGCACAAGCAAAACCATATACTGTATGGTGGTATGCAAATATGGCAGCGCATGTTTGTATATAATGTATATAATCAAATATCTTCTAGTGCAACAGGGTGATTAGAAAGAAAAAAAATCTATTGAACAGTTAACTTTCTGCATAAGCAATGTGTAAATGCCCTAAATATACAGTATATTTGCACAGAATACACCTAAACTTTCTCATATAGGGTGTACGGTTAAAACTAATCCAGCTACAGTTGATTATTTGAGCCATTTCATGTAATTCAATTGTCATAATTTTTAACAATTAACTTAATGAAAAATGGGTAGTTTTAAAAAGCTATTCTCAAAATGCTTTTGTAAATCAGTTTTCCTCTTTTTACCAGTTCTTGTAGTGTGATTTATTGTAATGTGCTTCATTTTGTGTGAGAAAAACCTCCACGGGTTTCTTTGTTTACTAATTTTGCTTGTAGTTTCCGCTGTGCTCAAAGCAACTAAGCAGCTTTTTAATTCATATTTGAAGATTATAAATGCCATTTAAAGAAAAGACTGCAATTAAAACGATGAACAATGAATTTTAAATGTCTCCTTGTGTTTGTCAAGGGGAAAGATATGTACATTTCATAGGCTACTTGTTTGTCATACATTCCCCAGCATGCCATTGGTGGTTACGCAGGTCACGTGACGCTACGTCTGTCAACATGAGTGGGCACTGCTGGGCAGGGAAGCAGCTGGATGTACGCGAGCCGTGACCTGCAATTATTCATATTCAGTTTTTTTATGTGTTCAGATTAGCTGTTTTAAATGCGTTAATGTCACGAGGAACCTATGAACCCACTGTTTTCAACGCCTGAGCGGAAATATAAGTTTGCTAGCCCGGCGTTAGCATAACGGAACTGAGTAGTTAGCTTGGGAGCTAGCTAGGTAGGTAATGATAGCATCTCAGCCGCTGGAGCCCCTCTCTTTCTTTACTATGAAGGTTTGTCTGTCGGCCAAATGTCACGTATAGTTGACCTGCACCGTACGACACCTTTCATATGAGTCTTAAACTGGTTTTGTCTGTTTTAGTAGCTGCATGACACCAGTTTAGCTCATACTAACGCTAGCTTGCATATCCCGGTGAAGATTGGTCGAGCTAGGAAATGTTCCTGGACCTTACAAACTAGCTATTGATTTCTAATGTTGCAGTGTGAGGACCTAGTCAGTCACAGCTACGTAGCACGTCACTGCAACTTCTAGTAACCTTTTTGGGCGACGGGTTTACGTCTCTTATGACAAAAACAGCCATGACTGCTGCGTGGATGTGTGAAGCAGGAGAATGAGTGGGCGCCTGGAAGGTAGAGGATGCCACCATCTTTCACCGAAGACTGTCCAGCCTAACACATCGATTAGCTGACCAACTGCTGGAGGAGGACTGGGAAGCACACACTGTGTATGTGTGTGTGTGCGTGTGTGAGAAGCTACTGCTCTCGGCTATATCAGTTAGTCTCGTTCAGCTCTTCTGCCCCATGGCTGCTGTTAGTGGTGTCAACATGCTGTCCCAGCTCGGGGACGTGGCTTTGGCAGGTCCAGGAGTCGCAGGGCTGCCCGCTATGTCCTTTACCAACACGTCGGTGTCTGCCAGTCCGACGCCGGGTGCTGATACCAGGGGGTGCGAGAATGGCGCCTTGATGGACTCGTTTGGGATTTTCCTGCAAGGACTCCTGGCTGTGATGGCTTTCAGCACGCTGATGTGTGAGTATGGTCACTGCTCTGCTGTGTGTCAGATATCTGACACCAGCTGCTGATGTGACCCGGCAATTATCCAATGGCATCACTCTGTTAATCAAATGAGGTATTGATCTCAGCTGGGAGGTTCATGCCTGAGTGTATAACAAGGAACGCAAACAACAGTAAGATAGACAGACATTGTAGGGGTTAACGTCCAGTGTAATACTACACTTGGTGGCTTTTTCCTCTTGCTGAAGTTATTGTCCTTGGCTGCTTACTCTCTGAAGTCACTGGCTCATGTTTGACCTGCATCATGATAACACTCCCCTCTCAGGTTAAACCCAGTTATGAGGATTTCTAATGGGAAAATGCAGTGGTTTTCATTATAGTGGATTTGTTTTGCAGGTGGCAGTCCGAGTTTGTGACAAAATCATAAAGTTAAGGGAGCAATGGCAAATGAAAAGACTGCTACTCTCCTTGATTGTGTATGTTGGAAGTCCACTCAAACAGCGATAGACGCCCGCAGCTACAAGTCACTCATATAAATCTGATTTGCAGACATCAAAAGAGTCCCATTGTAGATGCAGAATAACTTTTTCAAAGTAAGGTGCCTCAAGTGATGGTTACACAGTATATACCCTGCAGCTGCTTCACTGTACAAGCCAGAGTCCTTTCTGTTTGCTGACTGTTTTGTAAGAACTGGTTTGTGCATTTCATAAACATGCTAGACAAAGAATAAGAAGACATACTGTTATTAATCCCTGAGGGGAAGTTCTAGTACATTGCACAAGGTGATGTTTGACAGCTGTTACCTATCCATGAAGCTCATTTTTGTTTAATTTCTCCCAGTGAATCAACTGCACAGATCTGTTTCCAACTCTGGCTAAGGTGGCTTTACGTTAGGCAGCTGAACTCATATTTAGATAGACAGAGAAACATTGCACACAAAGAAAAATCACACTCATGCTTTAGCCAGGGTTCCATTCAGTCAGTGTCTGGCACAGGGCTGACAGCACTGTGACCTAATGAGAGCAGCCTCAGTTTTTCTGTGTCCCAGCAGCCTCGCAGCAATGAGGAATGTTCAGCATTTTAGACCCCTTTTTTTTCTTCTCTAGGCAGCTCTCTGAGCAGAGGGAGTAGGCTGAGGCCTCCGCCTGTGTCTGCATCACACCCAGCTGCACACAGGGTGTGCTCAGTCTGAAGTCGCACTTGTGCTCAGAGCAGAAACTGAGGTCACAGCTCGCAGTATAGCTTGGCCGCATGAAAACACAAAAAGCCTTGAGGAAATGGTTTGGCAACACTATAGTATTTAGTGCAAACTTTGAGTGGTGAGATAGTTTGAGGTTTTAATTGTGAGTAGAGGGTGATAATCCAGCTGAGGTACCACAGCTTTGAACAATCCAATCAGAGTGTGTGTCTGGTAGAAAAGTTACGCAGGGATGTCGTAACGCTCCCCTCTTATCAAGCATCTCTGTGTGAAGATGGTAGTGAGGGTGCCAAGGAAAACAAGTCACTATTGTGAAACAGAGCAAGAGCTTTATTTGTGTTGGACCTATACTGTTTTCAGTGATGAGCCTACTCACATAAAACCCCTCACAATCAATTACACATAAGGGTTGGATTAAAGTGAGGTTGTCTAAAAGCCTGAAACACTTCTTAAACACATACAGATATATTTAGTAGTTGCAGAGTTTATGTTTGTAACACAAACTTGTCTTAATTTGTTCAGTTTGACAGCTTGGTTTTCATCACTTTATCACTACTGTGTTTCCTAACTTGGTCAGACAAGATGTACCACATCAATAAATAAACACTTAAGTATTTAGAGTCTGATCCACTTCTCTGCCTGGCCACCTTTTAAAGAAACATTTCTCAGTTTCCTGTCAGCAGTGAGCTGAAAAAAAAGAGTATCAGGTTTCACAGCTGCTGCGTCACACTAGGTCATGTCTAAAGTTCTGGTCTGGACCGCTAGTTCTGCTTCCTGCGTGACCAACAACATATTGCTCAGTTCTCGTTCTGCGTCAACAAGCCATCCACATATAGACTTAGCCTGTATCATGCAGTCTGTCTCACTTGAACTCAAATAGCTGCTATTCAGTGCACTGTGGGCTTGATAAAAGACTGTTTGAAGTCTCACTTCTGAGCCTGCTTGTGTGATGGTTTTAACTGCACAAAAGGGGGACGTCAACCCTTGTTTTCAAATCATGAATATGTCAGTACAAAGCAAGATTTTCAGCTGAACTAAACATATAACCTTCTTTAAAGCCAACAAAGTGCTCTTTGGACCCTCGACAGCCGTCAGGAGGGTTGTAACTTGGTTAAATTAAAAGAAGAGATTCTGTTTGATTGATTCTGTGTTCCTCTCTTTTTGTAAGCGTAATCTGTATTAAAATCCCACTATCTTTTGTGGTGCACTCTCTCCTCCACAGTGAAACGCTTCAGGGAGCCAAAACATGAGAGGAGACCCTGGAGGATCTGGTAAGGCAGCTGAGCCAGCTTAAACTCATTTCTCTGCAAAGGCATCAAATGAATCATGCCGGAGTCCCTGGGAAGCATATCAACCTGTCCCGTCTCTCTGCAGGTTCCTGGACACCTCAAAACAGGCCATTGGGATGCTGTTTATCCACTTTGCTAATGTCTACTTGTCAGATCTCACAGAGGAGGATCCTTGCTCACTGTGAGTCAATCCTAAGTTTCACTGTTCTACTCAGAGCTCCTGATTCTTGACTGACTACAAATAGATTTCCAAGAAACTGTTAAAATGAACGTCTTATCTTATTCATTACTCATTTATTTCAGTACACATGTATTGTTGAATTCTTGCTGGGAATCACTAGGTTGTCCAGTAGGAAAGCTTTTAACTGCAGATTCAAATTACATTCACTTTTCTGTCTCTCCCAGATACCTCATTAACTTCCTGTTGGATGCTTCTCTTGGCATGTTGCTGATCTATGCTGGAGTGAGAGCCGTCAGCGCTGTTGTAGAGTGGAGGCAGTGGGACTCACTGCGCTTTGGAGAATACGGTGAGGACCATGCCTCCTCGCCTCCTCTCTCCTTCCATAACCTGAAAATTGCACCGCCTTCACCATAATAGAGGATTTTCCAATCCCTTAAATGCACCTTGAGGAGACAAGGAGAGAGGAGGCTTCTTGAGGAGCTTAGAGTGAAGAAATACCAGTGTATCCTACATGGAACACTTTAATCAAGTGGCGTGACTGCGGAGCCCCCTGAGGTTCATGACAAGATTTTTGGTGTGTGTGTGTTCTGTGCTGTATAAACACACACAGTTTACTCTGACAGTGCTTACATTGTCGTTTCGTGTATAGGGATTTATATTTTTCCTGAAAATTTGACATCTTCAGAGGCACACTATCCCGGGAATCCCAGGAAATTTAAATGTTTTTATGGTATAATTTAGCTACAGTTCCCAACTTGGCTGCTCTAGTGTACCATTTGGTGATATTAATAATTATTAAGGCAAAAGAACGGCATTTATGTTAAACAATTTTAAGACAAACGTAACATTAATTTTGCATACAACTAAAATTTTCCTAAAGCTGCGAGGAATATAAAATGCCAAGTCCATTGTCTGTGCTCCCTCTGCTCAAAACAGCCTCATGGAGGTGATATCTAACAATTTTTCATTGTTTAAACAAATTGAATTTGTTACAGCGAATGATTTGACTTTTTTAAAGCCAGTCTATTAAGCTGAGATGAATCCCATATTCTGTTAGTCACTGTTCAGTCTTGTAAAGTGTTTCAATGCAGAGCTGGTGGCAGATGTCATTTTGTGTTTGCCTCATTTAGACGGTAGAGTGGATGAATATGGTGGGCCAAAAGGAGGATACCATTGCACTGCTAAGTTTTGCATCCCTGCTAACCCCGAGAATTGCATCCACACGGGAGGCTGTTAAGGACTTGGATATTTCTGTCATGATACATATATTTTGTATAAATCAGCCTGTTTGGTGTATGGCTAGAACTTAACTATTTTATCCCATTTTCCCGTTATTATATTGCTGGGGAAATGGGAAAAAGTTTGTATGTGTATTCCCGGGAATCCTGTCTCCCAGGATTTAACCCTAATACAGATAATAAGGTAGAACACAGTTACATGGTGGGGTGAAATATAATGTGCCGTCACCTTGTGCGTTATAAATCTAACACTTTAGAATAAAGAATAATTTAAATATTAAATGTTGTGGCATCACATGAGGCAGCAGCATGTTTTTCATTTGTTTTTAATTTTAAAGTATGATCGACATACAGTCTTACACAGCTATGTGATGTATTATTGTGCAGACAACTATAATGCAGGTAAATATACAGCCTAAGTAATCATAACAAATTAACTAATCTGTACATAAATTAGAAGATTCTAAAGGAATATTAAATTATGATTAAAATCAACAATAGTAGTAATACGACAAATAATTATGTTAAACATTTTATATATCTAAATAAATAAAGGTCCCTTGTATATGTAAGATTTTTATAGGCCTACAAGAGGTTTTCATATTTATCTATCTACCTATGAAAGATATTGTAAGTTTTTTAAATTGTTCTTAGATTGTTCGTACCATTCAGTTTGACAGGTAATAACGTCTGTGCAGCATTTCACAAGTAACTGATGCAGCAGAACCAGGAATTTCTCATTTGATAGCTTCTGCTGCTCCGTCCTTGCGTCTTTTCTTTGCCGTCCTCGCTCACACATCTCGTAGGTGAAACTAACAATGAGGAAGCAAGGTGACATGTTAGCATGATGAAATGCCTTCAAGTGTGTGAGTGGTGAAGTGGGAGCTCCAGCACATTCCTAAAATGCTTATAATGTCCAATGGAGGGCAGCAGCTGCCCTCGGTACTGCAGTGCTGCAGTGTCAGTTCTTACATTGCCTTCTTTTGTCCCTGAAACAGTTTGTGTATCACTGTATCTAATAATGATCTGTGCTGCATAAGCTGTACACATACCTAAGCAGATTTTGTTTTTACAGTAATCTGTCTCTTTTTTCCTGTGTGTGTGTGTGTGTGTGTGTGTGTGTGTGTGTGTGTGTAGGAGAGCCAGTGCAGTGCACAGCTTGGTTGGGCCAGTGTATCCTCTACATCCTCATCATGATGTTTGAGAAAGTCCTCATCATGTTGGTCCTCCTCATCCCCCAGTGGAAGAAGGTATGGAAAAAAAGGAGTTGAGCTGATTTGAAAAGATAGCAGGTGACATTGGTCATCAGCAATGTCATAATTTTTTTTTTTTTTTCAATTCGAGGTGAATTCTCAATATTTAAAAGTGTTGCAGAACTCTCCAGAGCTGTTATCAACCTGATATTGGATCAGGTGGATTAGTCGAGGGAAAAAAAAAACCTTCATTTGTCGTACCACAACAACACATATAGACATATAGCCGAGCCTTTCACTCACCATGCTGCTCTGTCAGCTCCTGACCTTGGGGTTTGCTCCATTTACAGATATTTGGTGGGTTTTATGTCAGCTAAATAAAGATGCAATGTATTGTGGTAGATTTAGTTAAATGAGCTGTATGCGACATTCAGAGCAAATCTTATGATTGGGAGTCTGAGCTGTTATTGTCTGCTCTCAACATGGACCCAGTTGAGCTGGCAGATAACAGCTGAAGGTGCCAACAGTGCTAATTACGGCAGCAGAGCTTACGGTGTTAACATCAGGGGTACCAGAGGGTGGGTGCTACGCTTCTGCAACAACATTCCGCCACAGTGGGACGGCGATATCAGCAGAGTGGCTGCAATTAGCTATCCAGTGGGATTCAAGCACACATGCGTGTGTGCCTGGACTGCTACAACTTCAAGGAACAGAGGAGCTCAGATTACAACAAACACAGAGGGAGCGTGACTTCATTCTCTGCTCAGGACGCCATTACACCACTATATCTTTAAACATCAAATAGTTGTTTGATGTTATATTAATGATTTGTATGTCGTATACAGCTCCTTTAACAAAATACTGTAGAGCATGCCCACTGAGTCCTGCATAGAGTGATCAGAAAACAGGGCAGCACCCACAGTCAACAAGGTCTGACAACTAAAACACTCTAGTTGTAAGATAAGTATTTCTACATTGTATGCAATACAGCACACTCAGGACTGATTAAGAGATGTTCTCTGACCGGGAATCAAACGCAGACTGTGGCAGTGACAGCGCTGATTTGTAGCCACTAGATCACCGGGGATGTCTGTTGACCCTAGAAAGGCATGTTTTGTCCCAGTTCCCGTAGTGCTGTGCTGTGGCACTTTTTACTTTCATGTAGGCCTGCAACGATTAGTTGACTAATCGATGACTAATCGACTATTAAAATAATCGGTGACTGTTTTAGTAGTTGACTAATTGGTTTGAGTCATTTTTCATAGAAAAGTACTATAAAAGTACCCCAAAATACTCTTATTGCAGCTTCTTACGTTCAGATATTGGCAGCTTTACACACTCTTCCATGACGGTGAACTAAAACCCTTTGGCGTGAGTACGAAACAAGACATTAAATGACATCATTTTGGGGTTTGGGAGAGACAGACTGACATTTTTCAACATTTCAACACATTTTTTGATAAAATGATTAGTCGACTAATCGAAGAAATAATCAACAGATTAGTCGACAATGAAAATAATCGTTAGTTGCAGCCCTACTTTCATGTGCCTCACAGTCACACTGTCAATATTGGGATTCTACAGGACTAATTAATAAATAAAAATTGATCTTTCCTCAGACACAAATGATGAGGTGGTAATTTTTTATATTTTGATCAACCCTAAATTTAGAAAAAGAAAAGGAAAAAAAACAGTTTTGTATGGTTTCTCCATAATATAGGTTTTTTAGTTTGAAAGAAAATCAGTACTTAAGAAAAAAAAACTAAGGTATTCCCTGACCAGGAATTAAACATGAGCAGTGATGGTGACAATGCTGAATCCTAAACACTGGACATGTTCTCTGCAATGTCTTGTTGAAGCGTCACAACCTGCCCTTAGCAGTGGTCTGCAGAAACTACCAGAAACAGTACAATAACTATAAATGCAATATCACAGTAATGATTTTGAACGTGATAATAAATCTTGTATAGCACCTACAGTACTCATGCAGAAATGTCATTTTTGGTGGTCTGCTAGGTTTGTGGATTTTCTTTTGTGAAGGTCGAAGGACATTATCACAATGAAGCATTAAACGCTTTAATCTCACAGCTTTTACAGATTGTTTATATTGCTTTTTCCCCTCTGGGTATCACAATACAAACTCATTGAGAGTCATAATTCTCTGGCTGTCTTTGTGAGACAAGAAAGCTATGATTTGGCATAAACCTCTCGAGCAAACCCACAAATCATCCCTTGATTTCTCACAGAAATCTGGACTCTTGCGTGCAAGTAAATGTCAATCCTGTTATGTCTAATATCAAAGTCCAGTGTACTCGGAGAGAAAAGATAGCATGCTCCTTGACTTGGAATCAAACTCAGGCCATGTAGGTGATTGCAGCAAAGTCCAAGCACTAGACAACAGACATGATTGCTTAGCTTTTCGAGGCATCTTCTCTTGAATCCCAGTTGAAAATGTGTCATAGTTTTAATGAAAAGTAGTAGTTTTGTCCATATTGGGATTCTCCAGAAATGGTACATGTTTACATTTTCCTTCACACATGAATGGTTAGGTGATCGAGCCATCTTTGTCGGACCAGAAAGCGAGGGTTAATCAATTACTTATCACTTATCAGTCCTATCAACAAAGGTGTTGAATGCATTTCCTCCCTAATAAAACTTTTGCAAAGCAGATTTCTTAAACATTGTAAATCCTGCATTGTTTACATGCTGCAAGTGTTTCCCCTGCCTTTGTTAGTGTATTAGTGTGTTTCTTGGCATGTTGCCTCTAGCTGTAGATCATTGGAACAGTGCGAGACAGGAACGTGTATAGCTTCACCACTGCGCATATGCATCTAAGTGTCTTAACTCTGCCATCCAGAGTGACATTATAATTGGAGAAACATATTAGGGTGTTCCCTAACCAGAAATTGAACCTGGGCCACGGCAGCGAGAGCACCAAATCCTAATCACTTGACATGTTGTGCCAAAACCTCTGGAATCTCAAGGCTTACAACCTGCATCTTGTAATGGTCTACAGAAACAGCACCTATAACTATAAATGGGGCATTACAGTTCTTATTTTTAACTTGATGCATGCAGAAATGTTTGCCATTTTAGGTAGCCTGCTAGGTCTCTCGCAGATAATGCAACTAGATGGCTTTCACGATTCCTTCCGCGCAGTGATATGGTTGGTGGGTGTAGTTTTGTAGACAGAAAATAGTTCCTGTATGAAACTGCTCACAACAAGGTCTGTGCATTATCTTGAGTAACCGGGTCATGATTTCTGGAAAGAGACATTGCTGTGTCGATGCTTTCTGACGCTTTGAGCACCACAAGCTGAGTGTCATCTAGTTCCATTATATTCGAGAGAAGGCAGACATCTCTACGACTGATATCTCCAACAATCTCCATGCTGATAATTAGCACTGCACAAAAGAGGAAAATATGCATTTTTGATTTTGGGGTGAACTGTCCCTTTATGCTTTTATTATATGACTTTTATAGATGCATTTTGTCCCTCTAGTAATTACAATATAATGTCAGTGAGAGTCAAATGCCTAGTGTAAACATGTCAGTTAAAATAAACCAGCTCAGTTTGTTACAAATATTCAGTCTAAAAGGGCTGGTTTAAATCTCCTGAACAAATTTGTTCAGCAAATCATCATGTTTGGGGAACACTCCTTTAGATTACTTTCCATTTGCCGACCACATTCACACTTTCTCAAGATGTTTGGTAGTTTCTGGCAGATTCTAGTTTGTGGTGTTTGCTCCAGTGAGCTGTTCTCCTACTTTATTATTGCCCTTACTGATCTTTGAGACCTTAAAACTTTCTAGTCTAAGGCTAAGTGTGCTGTCTGTGTTTCTATGTATATGCTTATGTCTGTGCATGTGTGTGTGTTGTATATGTCTGTGTGTGTCGCAGCTGGCTCTCCTCAACCCCATAGAGAATCCCAACCTGGAACTGGCCATCGTCATGCTCATCGTTCCGTTCTTCATCAACGTAAGTCTGCCGTTACTGTGTGTTTTCCTCTGCACCTTTATCTTACAGCTTCTGCTACACCACTACTGCACATGTCTAGTGAGAGTCTGAGTCATTCCTGTTTGTTCATACCATGTCCATTCTCTTGTGTGTGCATGAATGTATCAAACGTTTTGGTGTACAAAATGAAAATCTTTTCTTTTAATTCCCAATGGTGAAATATCATTCAACGCTGTACTGTTTGTGTTTCCTTTAGGCCCTCATGTTCTGGGTGGTAGATAATTTCCTAATGAAGAAGCACAGGACAAAAGCAAAGCTGGAGGAGAGAGAGGAGGACTCACGGGGGAACAGCAAGGTGCGCTACAGACGAGCTCTGTCCCATGATGACTCGGAGTCAGAGGTAAGTCCTGCCATAGTAACTCAGCTGTGGGGCACACCAGGGATAAGAAAGAACACTAAATAAACAGTGTCGGTTTTTGATCAATAAAACAAACAATTACAGTTGAAGTTGACCAGCAGTGAAATTCAGAGCTGACCACCTGAGGAGACAGAGCTTTTTCAGACCTGATATAAACGTGCGTCCTGGGTGATTGGATCACAAGTGGTCAGCACAGGTATGAATGTGTCCTCAATGTGTCCTGAGGTTGATCGCTCAGACCACATATGGAGGAGTGAACACTCGTGTTCTGGGCCACAATGAAGGACAGCTTCTTCAGCTGACATCCTTGCTAATCTAACTCTCCACTTTCTGTTGCTTCCAACTCAGTGCTTAAGGACTGTCTCCAGACCTGCTCTCAGTCCCAACAAACTCACACTGACACCAAAACGGCTTGACTCTGTCATTAAATCTGTTAATATTCTTTTGGTAACATTAGCCATGTGATGCTAACAGTTAGTCCTGTCACTATGTACGTGTGGGCGGACTCTCACCAACTGTCCCTGCCCAGTGCGGAGCTCACACTTCCGTAGCAGTGGTGTCCTAGCAGGGGGCGCTTAAGTGTGTGTGTAGTGTGACGGACCTCATGCCGGTTAGCAACAACCTTGCATTTTGTCTTTGCAAACAGAAATGATTTACATGTTTATTTGCATATAAAGCAGGGAAGTGAAAGCCGATCACAAGTGGTCACTCAATATGCATGTAGAGAGTCATTCCAATGCAAGGTGTTAAGAGAAAGACTTTGCGCTCTCCACTTTTGATCAGATCATCCAAGAGGTATGTTAATATCAGGTGTAAACAAGCTCAGAGAGAATGGGAAGTGGCACAGAAGCTGCACACAACCGTCTCAGTATGGCACCCTCTTATGGACAAACTCACTTGGAACTAATTCTGCACACTCTCAGTCTGAAGAGGGACACATCCTAGAGCTGTGATGGATTCCTTTTGAGACCAGAAAGCTCAGACAAAGCAGGATGTGAACTTTTACAGTCTCTCAATATACTGTAGTTTCATGTGTACACATAGCAGGGATATACTTGAAGACATAAAATGACATTCCCTGACCGGGAATCGAACCCGGGCCGTGGCGGTGAGAGCGCCAAATCCTAACCACTAGACCACCAGGGACACTTGCTGCTGGTTTGAAGGCATACTGTGTGAGGAGTTGTGGATGCCAATGTGTTGATAGACGAACATCATCAACTAAATATGATATATGATAAATAATGATATTATAATAATATTCATTTGAAAAGGTACTGATTGGTACCCTGTTGGTACTAACTCTGCACAGGCCTCAGTCTGAAGAAGAGTGTGTCTTAGAGCTGTTGGTTGCCTAGATCATGGTTTACAGTTACTTTATAAGCTTGTAAAGCAGGTGAGCCCAACACAGAGCCCTGCTTGAGACACACAACCAACCATTCATACGCCCAAAGCTCATGAAGTCATAGAGTCTGGTAGAAGCACATTTTCAGGGTTTTTCCCCCTTGATTACTCACAGTAATCACGTTTCCTGTTTGCATATATGAATGCAGCCTTTGAGGTCTGAACTACCACAGTGTTTCTGATTCAGCAATCATGACATAAAGATATGTTCCCTGACCGGGAATCGAACCCGGGCCGCGGCGGTGAGAGCGCCGAATCCTAACCACTAGACCACCAGGGACACCTGCCAGTGATTGAAAGGCATACTGTGTGAACTCTGGCCTTGAAAGAAGACAGTGGTTGAAGCACTGCACACTGTCTCTAGTCGTGGTCGTGTTTCTGTGGTACTATTACCCCTTTCCAGTTTGTGTTTAAACTGTTTGGAGAATTTCAATCAAACATAAATTGGTTCAAGAAAGAGCATGCATTGGCCTCAGTAATAGTTGGTCCAAGCTTGTTTTTTTTTGTTGTTGTTGTTGTTGTTTTTTTTAAATCAAAACAAATATCTGTAATAGCAGATCAAGAGTGTCCAGATAGTCACTGCAATCCACCATCTTGCTGCTACTATGTGTTCCATTGTGCATTGTGCCACACAATTACAATGGTTCCAGTTGTAACTAGTGGAAACATGGGCCGGTTCACTACATAGCACCAAGTATCCTTAAAGGATTGACTTCTTTTGTAGTTTCTTTGTAAGACCTGAAAGCTAGCATGAGGCAGACTGCTAAGTTCTCAGTGTAATGAAGTTAAGGGTGTACATGTTGCAGGCATAAGGTAATGTTCCCTGACCGGGAATCGAACCCGGGCCGCGGCGGTGAGAGCGCCGAATCCTAACCACTAGACCACCAGGGACACTTGCTGCTGGTTTGAAGGCATACTGTGTGAGGTCTGGCCTTCAAAGAAGACATTGGTTGCAGTACTACACACTATCTCCAGTCTTAGTCGTGTTTCGGTTGCACTGTTCTTCTTTGCCCACCTAATTTTGAACTACTTGGAGCGGCCAAAGTACAAACCATGATAGAAGTGATGTTGATTTATAACTCAAACATGCTTCACTTCCCTTTTAACTGCTGTTGAATGCGCTGTTCAACATGTGATATCGTTCTTCCTGTGGTCAGATAATGAGGCAGAGATGAGAAGTAAAGGTCAGGCAGAAGTCAAGAGGAAGGAATCAGGTATGCAGGTTTGGGTTTTGGCTGCTGATCTGTGTTGTCTGAGGGTGGCACAACAGGGTGGGCAGGTGGTGCAATGGACAACGCAGCTGACTATAAATCAGACGATACTAGTTTAGACTCCTGGCTGGCTTGTGACTAACTTTGTGTGACATCATTGTGTCCATTTAATCGGCCTGCATCAGTATGTTGGTCTGAAGTGTGTAAAGCAGACAGAAGGTAAACTTTGTCCCTGACCAGATTTATTCAAAATCATTTTACTTGGAAGTGTTTAGAGTGAGTAAATGATTGCCACAATCAAGGCCAGATTACAACCTTTGCTCATGTCCTTATATAGTGGATTTATCATCTTCTATTATGGGCACATTCAGCTTTTTGGTCAAACATCACCAAATTCCATTTGTGTCCAAGGGTGCGGACACACAAGTGCAACGACTCCCTGTTCCAGAGGAAACATAAGCACAGGGTAGACTTAAAAAAACTCACATTCAGTATCAGATCAGTTTAATTTTTGTTTTTCTCAGAGACTACTAAAATCTAAATGCTGATTAGACTTTATTGGTGAAATCTGGTCTTTGAGCAAAATGATTTGAGCAACACAATGTTCTTTCTGTAATAAATAGTAGTTCTTGTCAGTGGGCCAGACGTTGGAAAGTTTTTAGTTCACAAAAGGAAATGTAAAGCTGCTTTTCAGTGCATTTTAACATTTCAATAGTCAAAGCAGCGCAGACAAAAGCCAGCCTCGTGGTTTGTTCCACTACCTGCATGTGTGCTGCAGCTGGCCTCAGAGAGCATGCTTTCAGCAATGTGCTGAGCTGTGGGGGATGGGTTGAGCTGCGCTGAAGCACGTTTGGTTTCAGCAGCAGCATTTTTCATGCACAGCGGGCCAGTGGCGCAATGGATAACGCGTCTGACTACGGATCAGAAGATTCTAGGTTCGACTCCTGGCTGGCTCGTGAATCTTTTTTCTCCTGGCTTTCAGTAGACTGAAATATGCCGTTAGCTGATGTACATCAGTTCAGAGGAAACAGACGTACAGGAAATTTAGATTTACTTCCTCATCTACTGAGGATTAATCAATGGTTATCAAAGGCTTCTGCATGCAGTGGGTATTTTTCCACAGCAGAATAAGAAATTGTCAGGGGACAGACAGAAAAATACTCCAGAAATAAAAATGTACTTAAATGTACTTGTAAAGATCAACTAACTGTGTGCAACAAGACTCAGATGAGAAATTGTATTTACTCTACCATAGAACAATTGCATTATATATTTAATGGCTCTGGAGGGAGCCTTCTAACATCTGAAAATAACCTTGATGACGTCGTCAGGGTTGTTTTGGCTTGGGCTTGAGAATGAACAGAAATGTCAACGGTCAACTTCACTGTAACATCATAATGTTCTGCTTACAACACTTTTCTGGTCATTATTCAGCGTTATATCTCAGGAACAGAAGGGGAAACATTTGGTCAGATACTTAATTGGTGATCTTGCTTTTTAGATCCTTTTCTCAGCAGACGATGAAATGGATGAGTCAGATGAAGACGATGTTCGCCGGCTCACTGGCCTGAAGACGGTGAAGAAGAAGAAGCTTCGCATGGGGATCCCTGTTTGACCTGTGTGCTTGGCTAAACTGCTACGGTCAAATTCCCTCTGGTAGCTTTCCACCTCGCGGGCCACATATATACATTCCCCATACCTCTACAGATTTCCGTGTCAGCCGTAGGAGGTGACACAGTCTTTTCAAACATAGGACACCCTCTGATAACAGAAGCATATACTTTGACTGAATTCCCTTTACTGTCGACTCCTGCAAGGACCTCTGCATAAACTGTGTCTAACCTGGGATTTAATTAAACACACTGGGAGATATTTTTGCAGATCACCTGGTACTTCAGATCACTGTTGCATTTTGACATGGCACTCCTGGGGTGAGTGTTGTGTTTAAAGACACTGTTTGGGAAAACAAAACCCATCATGAATGAACACAATATCATTAAGTCTTTTATGTACGTATAATAGGGAAACGTTAACACTGGTTTAATACTGTTTGGACTTAAGTGTGTTTTGTGTGTGTGTGTGTGTGTGTGTGTGTGTGTGTGCGTGTGTGTGTATGGGTACAGTGGTCCAGGATCAGGTTGGTTGGACAAATCTCAACGGCCACAACAAAACCAAACATCATGCAAACAAAACTGTTGAGTGAGTTTGTTACGTTTGATAGTCTGAGATGTCCTCTAAAGTGATTGCATTTCTGATGTGGATTCCATGTAAACTTTGTCCTTTGTTTTCTCAGATAGATGTACCACCATGACCTGTGATGCGTGTTTGTGTCATAGAAGTAGAATGAATAGAGTGGACATTGAACAGTTTACCGTGGTCGTATGAGTAGTTCAAAAGAAAATGGTGATTGTTGTCAGTCAGTTGTTTTGGTGACCACACATAGAAACAGAAATACGGTGCCACAATCCAAGTTTTTCTCTTTCACCAAACTAAGGCTAACATATCAGCTTAATTGCCTTGGTAATTTATCATAAAACATGCTTTATTCTAATCTGGCAGAAGCAAAATAAAACCAGGGTTTACACAGTCATGGAAAACCTGGGAAAGTCATGGTCCCAACCCCTGAAAGTTTTGGAAGAATCATGGACCGCTGTTGAGTTTAATGGAATTGATTGTTATTTTAATCTTTGGTAGATAACCTTCTATGTAATGCAGCATGAGGGTGATTGCTGTGAGTAACGTGGCTCTGAATTGCGTCGACGTTGTTGACTAAATACAATGATTATAACACAATTCACATGGAGTACAGTCAACCTACAGTTCTGTCAGTGTAAATTTTAAAATTGGTCCTTGAAAGTCATGGAAAGGTTCAGACATTGTTACCTTGAAAATGTGTGGGAACCCTGTAAAACTCACCAAAGCTATCTTGGTTAACATTAGTCTTTCAACTGTTTCACCAACTCTGGATTAGTCAAAATAAACCCTTAATTCAGAGTTAGATATGAAAATATGCCGATCTGCACAGTGTTAATCTCCGCTGTCCCTCTCATGCTCTCTATCCTCTCACTACGGCAAGGTTACATCATGTTTCAACAAACATGCGATTAACGGCAACAAAAGACACAAGGAAGTAGCAGTTAATATCATATTTTCATATTTTAAAAGTAACATCTCACCTGTTTGAAAGCGCAACTTTACTAATCCACTGCTCATTTGGTCGTCAGTGCAAATCCTCACTGTACAGAGTTCGCGCAAGTAGGTCTGTTTATACGTAAGTTAGCTGGCTTCAATGGTTGTAGTGGCAATGGCACACACAAATATGGCCGCCATTATAACCACCCTCTTAAGTTGGCTTGAATGGGAATGTCCATTCTACTCATTCTATTTCTATGGTGTGTGTATGTGTATACAGTGTGTGCAGGGTGTTTACATTTGGACACACCTAATTTAGGGAAGAATTATGTCATAGAGTTTGAATCACTGTATTGATGCAACTCTTCAACACTTTCCAGCACAGTTACACACTTAACTACTGCATATCTTGTACGTAACGTTACTCATGTCAAAGGGAGCACATTAATGCTTGCAGCAACCTTCCATTATCTCTTGACAGAGTCCTCTCAACTGTTAGACCTGTAGGACTGCAAGTACCACACTACAACATCCCTCTGATATCAGCTCAGCATGTGCTGTCCATCTGTCTGTAGACACAAGACTGCAGTCTCGGTTTGTTTGACTGTTTTCCTGATGTGCTCTGACTGTGTGTTCTTTGTCTTTGAATGTCTCTTGTCTCATTTTAAGTTGTCTTGGGGTTTTTTTTATATATAGTTTTGAGTGTTATTTTCAGGCCAAAAAGGTGACTATGCTTGTTCCAAAAGTGTTCTTTATTCCTTAACTCCAACGGGGAGAGTAGATATGGGAACCATTTCTTGCACAATTTCCCATTTATCACAGCTTTCACCTTTCCTTTTGTGTTGGTGTGATTTTCTTTTTGTTACAATAATGTGCCTGAGTGAAATTACCAGCAGGTGTTTTTGTTTTTTTGTTTTTGATTTAGTGTTCTTTTGACTGTTTTCTCCAGAGCGCCAGATGTTCAGGCACGAAGCAGCATTCAGCAGGCTCTGATGTTAAGAATGTGACATGCATAGACCTCTAAACTGTTAAGTGACTGTGGACCAGACAGTCGAAAGAAAGGGGGTGTGTGTTTGTGTGTGTGTGTGTGTGTGTGTGTGTGTGTGTGTGTGTGCATGCTAGTGTATATATACAGTATACCTGCATGTACTGGCGTGTGCTGGATGCATGTGGTCAAGTGTGCATGATTGGTGTGACTGCTGGTCCTAAATTGAGAGTGACACTGTGACTGTGAAAGGTATGGTGCTGGTGATGGCAGTGGTTTCATTCTGATGTTTTTGGCATGTTGGCAAGGAATAAATGACTGTGCATTTTAAAGGAGGAAAGTACAGCATCTCGCAGCAGTTACTGTAACTCTCAGCTAAGCCAAGACAAAGAGGGCTTTTAGTATTTTGCAAAGTGAAACTACTAGACGATTATAAAGACAAGTGATGGAGGTAAATTATCATTCTAAATGCTTTTCCAATAAAGGATATGATACACTATCTTGATAGCTGATTCATTTCCACTAGAGTTTGCTTTATAGTTTCAGTAATCTATCTTGACAGCTGATTAATTTCTACTAGAGTGTTTTAGAGTGCTGCAGGGATGATGTTTATGTGTGGGCCAACCTGGTAGTGAACCTGGTCCCGGATCCCTCCAGGCCCTAAGGAATTATGCCAGGTTTTGAAGACAAATTTCATAGTGGCCAAATAGTGGAGTTACATCTCCTGAGTCCGTCATGTGAAGCCATTGGGCCCCAAAAATACTTTTCCCTGTAGACTTATATTCTGAAAGAGACGTCTGTAAAACAGTGAATCCATTTTTTTGAGCGTCGCAACCCCTGTGAAATGACTTTTTCCACTATCAGGATTTAATCCATTTGGTCCGATAAGTTTTGGAGAGTCTAGAAGAGCCACAAGATTAAATAATTTTATCCCCATACAAGTTAGTGGAGTGCTAAGGCAGAAGTAGCTGGCATGGACGATGCAAGGGTCTAGTACGCTAGCTCTATGGGTCCAATGATGCAGAAGTAGTGCCAATCACTACAAAAAGCCAATGGGATTTTTTTGTATGATTGCAAGAAATAAGATCTGTGGCAAACAAACATGTATGATACTGACATGTTTTGCTCAGGAAGATAATCTCCACAAATTAACAAGATTTAGGATTTTTGAAGCTGAAATGCAATCGCAAGTCGCATGACTTATTATAATGGGGCTGTAAAGACATGCTTAGCATGGCATCGTGTAGTCTCCTTGAGTCGCTTGTTAGCAACCGTCTTGTAAGACACATGAAAGCATCATAATTCACAAGTGGGGTATTTACTGACATTTTTTATTTTGTAGAACAAAACGTGAAAGTCTCTTATTGTTTAACCACAGGCCTTGTTTCAGGCATCTTACCAAAGACCCAGTCAAAGAAACCATCAAAACAGGGGGACCGGGAATTGTCACTGAGGCATGCCATGCCCTGTTCTAACTCTGATTGGCCTTACCTTGACATTGTCATACTTACCTTAACAAATCTCACTCCCCATGCCGTAGCCAAACCACCCCCAAAAAGGCCACAGGTGTATGGAGTTAGATTTGTGTCTTTATTACATGCGAGAAAATAAATGATATGAGAGAAAAAAAAATGTTTGAGAGAAAAAAAATATTTGAGAGAAAAAGTTTTCACACTGATAGAAAAAAATAATATTTGAGACTAAAAAAAGTTTTGAGAGAAAGTATTTTATCATAGAATATAAAAAAAATAATTTGAGATTTAAAAAAAGGTTTCCGAGAAAAAAAACTCTTTTTTTATACTCTCAATCGAATTGACAGCTGGGTGAGGATCGTCTTGGGAGTCGAATTCAACTGGATCATTCATCATCTGTGTCACATCTTACCCAGACATTGGAGTCTCTGCTCCCAAATAGCGCAGCGCATCTATGCCGGTGAATCGACCATGGTGGATGAATGATTCAGTTAAATTCGACTCCCAAGATGATCCTCACCCAGCTGTCAATTCGATTGAGACTGGCCAATAGGAACGTGGCCCCGCCCATGACATTATTTTCGCAGCGAAAGCAAAATCCTGACACAAGAGCAAAGACTAAGGTTTTGAGAGAGAGAAGAAAAATGTTTTGAGAGGAACAATTTTTTTGAGAGAAAATGTTTTCACACTGATAGCAAAAAAAAAGAATATTTGAGAGTAAAAAAAAGTTTTTTGAGTTTTTTTAAATCTCAATTTTTTTATATTGTATGACAAAATACTTTCTCTCAAAACTTTTTTCAGTCTCAAATATTATTTTTTTGCTATCAGTGTGAACACTTTTTTTCTCAAACATTTTTTTTTCTCTCATATCATTTATTTTCTTACATGTAATAAAGACACAAATCTAACTCCATACAGGTGTCACCTAATCAGAGAACGCAAGGTCTGTTATGTCATCTCCAACCAAGCAGACGCATGTTGTGGGTTTAGGCTACATTGCTGCAGCACTCACGTGATTTCGGAAAAGTGTTCCCTGACCGGGAATCGAACCCGGGCCGCGGCGGTGAGAGCGCCGAATCCTAACCACTAGACCACCAGGGACACCCATGTCAGTGCAGATACGGATCTGAACCCGAAAAAGGAGGCACCACCCGAGCAAGGTAATATTTCTCAGGGTGAGGATCGTGTGTGTGAAAAGACTTGTGCGCATTACTTGTGCGTCACCACAGTAGACGCAGCGCACTACAGACTCATGCACACCACAGACTCGGGGAGAGGTGCGGTTGCCACTCGAGCCAACCGACCCTCAGACATGATTGTATGTCCAAAATTAGATCCAGTAGTTAGTACTCATAGCTTCTTACATATAGCTAAGGAAAGACTCAGCGTCATGGTCATCCGTCAGAAGCTCTTGAAAAATACATTTACATCCTGCCTCACACTGGTAACACACACAAATACCAATTTTACATTTATTACATATAATTTGTTTTGTTTGTTGTGTTTCCTATATGAAAGTCACTGGTGTGGCTCCAAGTACAGGCTGTAGCACCGTAGTTTAAGCTGTCAGAGGAGGCTGAGAGAGATAACCAGTCAGAGATGCTTATTACTGTAAGCCTTGCACAAATAAGCACGTGCACTAACATGTATTTTATTGTGAGACAGTAATAATCTCACAGGTCTACACATAACAAGTCCGATTGAGCATCCTTGCCTTTTTTATTCCTCTAAATGTTGTCATCCTTAGGTCAGGACATGAGCTTCTTTACTCTCAAAGACTATCCTGGTACTGTGATGATACTTGAATGAGTATGCAGGCTTTCAGATTCTCTCTGCGTCGCTCAGTTTGTCATTTTAAAAGTAGTGAGTCAGTTTATCCATCATCATCATCACAGTTAACACCTCAACTTCAGATTATGATGCCAAGGTTTTCTGATCGCTCACAGTGTGGTTACTCATTTTATTTTAAGATGTACATTAAAATACATCACAGGAATCCAGTAAATGAAAAATAATGGTATTAATAAAATGTATTCGCTATAGCACCTTTCACAGAAATGAAATGTGTATATTTATTATCTGTCAAATTATGCTTTGATGAAGTGAAATTTGGTATGGCACATGGTATCTACTTGGTCTTCCCTCCTTCTCATCCTTCATATGTTTACTCATTCACCAAAACCACTCCTTGGTATTTTTCACAATGCCCCATGTTTTTGTGCCACATGGAGACAACAGCTTTTGAAATCGGTCCAGTATTGCGCAAGAGCACTGCAGCTGGCAGTCACAAAATAGGTTGCAATGTAATTACTCAGGGCAGTTGGGCACCCTCACTTTAGGTCCACTGAAAGAGCTTGTTTTTGCCACTGACAGGCTCAAATTATTGTTTTTCCAGGTGTCTGACAACATAATAGAAAGGGGACCTTTTTGTTTAAGAGCAAGATCCTTTTTGTTAACCAGAAAGAGACTCCCACCAGACCCCATGTAAATAAAGAGTTATTTTATCACTGTAGAACACACTTCATTCAAAGTCAACACAAACAAAATAAAACTCACAAAAACATCTTGGTTCGTCTTTGCACTGTTTCAGCAATCACCTTCTCTGGTTTGGTTAAAATAAACCCCGTAATTTAACCCACAGCAAGAGAGTTCATGGTTAGCCCCTCTGTGCAGAGTTTGCATGGTCTCTTAGTGTCAGTGTGGGTTTTCTGTGGGTACTCCAGCTTCCTCCCACAGTCCAAAGACATGCAGGTTAATTGGTGACTCTAAAATTGCCCGTAGATGTGAATGTGAGTGTGAATGGTTGTCTGTCTCTGTGTGTCAGCCCTGTGATAGTCTGGCGACCTGTCCAGGGTGTACCCCGCCTCTCGCCCAATGTCAGCTGGGATAGACTCCAGCACACCCACAAGGATAACCAAAGGTGTAACTTATGCAAATGTTAGTGCAGCTACTCTGGGGCCAGATCTGACCTGAAGACTTCTGGCTGCTTATTTCTCACATATAAAAAAAAGCATCAATGGCCTTCTTGAGACTCAAACAAAACAGTTGGATAATTTTCTTTGCTCTCCTCTTGGTTCACCTCTTATTTTGTTGAATCATGTGTTAACTGTCTGGAAATGCTTTTTATAAGACTCAAAAAGACATTCCCTCAGGCCTGGATCAAGTTGTAGCACTGGGTGGGCCGAGTCCTAACAACTGGAGCTGCGGGGGAGCTGTTGATACCCCTTCTAGTGCCAAGTCCCACAACAACATTTAAAAAAGGAGGGCAGGGTCTGCAGGGGAGGAGGAGGAAAACTGCCACTTGTGTTGTATCCGAAATTATCAGCTGTTGGCCTGTAAGCTTATCGTAAAAGACGGGAGACCCATTCCAGCTAAACCATCCCTCACGTCACACCTAATAATACACACTGACAACAGGCAGAGTGAGACAGAGGGTAGGGGGTCTGACTGACGCACTGGGTCTGGATCAGGACTATATATAATGTCAGGCTCACTGGGAGACAAAGACACACACAAGAAAAACAACCAGTGGATCTGTCACACTGGAAAGCGACGTCTGTGGAATCACTACACAAACTTCAGTCACCATGTCACAGGTAAGTCAGGTCAGGTGTTCTGTTCTGATTATGAACAGAAACTGAACACAGTTGCTACGTCTCCCCATCTTTCTTTAATTCACTCCAGCCGGGCGAGGTGAAGAAGAAGAAGCGTCCCCCGATGAAGGTGGAGGACCTGAAAGGAGCTCGCAGTAAACTGGGACTGAAGGGCGAGGCTAAGAGTAAGACCTATGAGGTCATGGTGGAGTGTGGTGAGTAAGGCCTTTTGTAAATGTTGTTTCTTCTGTCACTGAAAAACAAGACGAGTGATGTAACACCATATCAGATGCTATTGCTTATTTGTAAATGACATTTCGGCTCTCTGTTCTAACAAAAGTAATCTTTTTGTTCCTGCTTGGCCTGTCGACCTAAAAAATCATGTGTCTTGGCAGTTTAATATAATTGAATGTCTGACTAACAACTTAAATAGAGGAGGCTCTAAGTGAGTAATGTGACACGTTGGATATGTCACTGTTTCAGAATGCTATGTTCTTTGGCCTCTACCATTGAGAACAAAAAGTCACTGATTCATCAATAAATGAAAAAGTAAACCAGATTATTCAGATTAATGCTGAAACAGATACAGAAATATTAAATATTTGAATTGATAAATAACATTCTAACTAAATAAATCAAATCCAAAATGAACACACAGGCCTAGATAAACACTTAAATGCATAATTAAATGAATATATTAATGCTGGAATGATTAACCCTTTTACTAGCCCGGTGTTGCTACACATTTTGACAAATATACGCCTGTCTCAATTAGACGCCTGCTCTGGTTGCCAAGCAACTCATTTTTAATAGATGTTCTTAAGATGTACAAAAGTAGGTTGTTGGCTACCTCACATTATGTGTTCATTACTTAATTACCCTGTAAGTTATTCATATTCCTTTAGTCCGTAAGGGTCCTCAGATCAAAAGAATCAAAAAAGTTTTTCATAAAAGTGAATCCAAGTTGTTAGTATTGTTTTAACAAGGTAACAAGAAGTGATGTTTGCACTGGTTTAAATGAATAATTAGATTATATTTCCTGATCTTTGCAGAGCAACAGTTTTGTGTGAAGGGAATTAAAGGCGTGTCCCATACAGATGCCTGTCTCACATATAAGGCTGTCGATTTCAGTGAGCAAACAGCCCCCGGCTATTAAATGAAGTTTTACAGTAACTAAGTGTAGATTTGTAGACATGCAGTTATAAATTAATGATATTCATTTTTACAATGGATTACCAACATTTATTTATTTATTTATTTATTTATTCATGAAATTGTGTTTATTAAAGCACGGTTTTATCAGTTTCAAATTTTATTTTTCATTGTCAAATGTAGGCTATTTCATTTTTCTGAGAACATTCTGAAGAAATATTTTTCTCCACAATATCCCGCAGTGATAATACCCTGTCTAGTTTTCTTTCTGAACATGGTATCAACACTTGCCAGCATATGATTGTCCTCTATATGATTGTACCGTCAGCACTGTGCGAAAAATAGTTCCCTGACCGGGAATCGAACCCGGGCCGCGGCGGTGAGAGCGCCGAATCCTAACCACTAGACCACCAGGGACATTTACACTTTGAGAAAATAGTAATGGTTAAGAAGGTACTGTAAATATCTGTCCAATTGGCTCTGTAGCTGGTTTGATCTGAGTGAGGTAACTTTGATGTAAATATAATCAAATAATAAAGTTATTACTGTAATATACATGAGCCTCTGTTACCTTGGTGGCGATAGTAGGGCTAGCTAGCTTAGGCTGACCAAACGTCCTCTTTTGCCCGGACATGTCCACTTTTCACGTCCCGTCCGGGGCAGCCGGATTTTTTTATAAACTGATGATAATGTCCGGTTTTCCGTGTGTTTGTGTGTGTGTGTTAGAGTGCGGCACGGGCCGCATATTTCTGTCCGAACCCGAACCGAGCCCGACATTATTTAATGACCAAAGCACTGAGTTTGTGTCACACAGTTGTTACAGTTACAGGCTATTTAACAGGCTGGGCGTGCGCCGTGGGTGCTCAGCAAAGAGGGAGACCTCCGTGTTTGAGACGGGAGAGGGAGAAATAAAACAAAATAAGATAAAATAGGAAAAACCTGTCTCCCTCTTTTATTTTATTTTCAGCGTTTAATCAAGGCGGAGGTGCGCGGCTGGAGGTCCGAGACTTCCAGCGAGGAGAGCGATAGAAACAAACAGCCAATGTGTGTCTGTGTGTGTTGTGTTCAGGTGTTGTTACGTAAATAACAGTGCCCAAGCAATAAACAGGACAGACAATAGGATTTTATTTATTTTTACACAACATTTTCACTGAAAGCTGACCGAATCCGACCCGAGCCCGAATACAATTTATAGCTACATTTTTGACCAAACCCGGCCCGACCCGTCGGGTACCGTCGGGCTTGGATCGCCACACTCTAGTGTGTGTATGTGTCCCCTGTTGGGGCCTATCTGAATTTCTGTCTTTGAGAGATATTATTTTGCAATATAACTGAATTTTCTGTCCATACATATAAATTTTAAATATATTAAAATTATAAGGCATCTTTGAGTAAACTGCGAGTATCATTTAAATAGGCCATGTCGTGGCTGGGCCGAGTGTCCTCTTTTTTGGAAATCAAAATATGGTCACCCTACGCTAGCTAGCTAACACCCTGACAGCAGCCATGATTTGTGTGATATTATCTTACTATATAATGACCAAAACTCTGTCTGTGGGTGTGTCTGTTCCACGTTTTTCTCCTCACTGACTTCGTCAATCCATGTGAGATTTGGCACAGTGGTAGAGGGTAATTGGAGGATGCGAATGAAGCAATATTACATCAATTGGCCAAAGGGGGGCGCTATAGCAACCGATTGAAATTGCAAACTTTGAATGGGCATATCTCATGACCCGTATGTGCTAGAGACATGAAACTTTGCACAGAGATGCCTCTCCTCACGGGGAACAAATTTGCCTCAAGAACCCATAACTTCTGGTTATATAGATTTTCCGCCATTTTGAATTTTTTGAAAAATACTTAAAATCGATCTCTTCCTAGGAAGTTTGATCGATCTGCATGGAAGTCGGTAAACATAATCCAGGGACCAATATCTAAAGTTCCCTCTTGGAAAAAGTTGGAAAACTTACTAAAACTGAGCTTAAATAAGGCAATGAATATTGTGGAGGGCGTGGCTCATCACATAAAGGTGTATGACATCTCAAGGGTTTCACCGATCACCAAGCAACTTTGTAGACATATGACCACACATAATCTGAGGGGACCACTCAATTATTGACCAAATCAAACAAAATGGGGGCACTAGAGAGCTAATTTCTTATCTAGGCCTAACCGCCATATCAATGTTTACTAAACTTGGTAGATATGTAGAACAGGACGCCTCAAGGTGACTGGAGAAATTTAACTCTAATTGGCAACTGGGTGGCGCTATAACAACAGAAAAATGCTTAAAAATGGCTAAAATGCGACTGATCGCTGTGGCTCCCCCTGTGGCCGAATGTTGAATGTTTTTTTTTTTAAATTTTTGGTATGACTAAGTCATGGTATGGTATGCTGCTGCAACAAGGGCTAGCCGCACCTTTCCATTGTGAACTACCAAGTGCGCCCCACTTGTAAGTCAATACAACATATAAACACTTTAACTATCTGCCTTTCAACGTGCTACCTCAACTACCAATGTACAATTTTAGCCCACTAACTATCCCATTATTGGCAATGGTACTACTGTACTCTCAGTAAAGCAATCGTACTATTAAATTCACAAAAACTCTGTCTGAATACATTGCTCTTCTTAATGGGTTCAGTTGACTATCTGCAATTTACTATGACCTGTATCCCAAACACACTCCACGTGAAACCGTACATGGGCAACTGTGCACTCAATGGGTATGGACTAGTAGCTTCATTCACATGCAAACATAACAGTCATGTTGTGTTTCACAGTCATGCCATTTAGTACTTCACCCAAGTTAACACCTTTTTTGGGCTATTTGCGCCTTTCTTGAGTACTTTAACTTTACATCCTTATAACATCACACATGTTGTTTGCCTACCACTACACTTAACCCATTTAATCCCAAATTTTCCATTACATAAAACTTTCCAAATCATCTGTCATTGGTAACCCTTTGAAATAATTAATCATTATGTATTTTTTAAATTTTCATGGAAAAGTAGGTGCGTTTTGTGGTCTGTCACAGCTGTGACCGGTGGGATAATGTGTTGTATCTACCATTCAATGACTGAACTAACATATTCTACTATGCAGTCATCAAATTCTTATAAACCCCATCTGAGTTACTGACACATTTAAAACTAAAAGTCACTGGCACTCCCTGCATTGCCACTAGAACGCTCTCTCACATGTTAGTGTGACTACTTTACATATTAAAAACCCTTATACAACACCAGCAGTAGCGTTGGAAGTTACAACAGGCCCCAGTGCATGCAACATCAACATACATATTACCCAGCAATCGTCATCACAAATATGACAAAAATATCAAAGAAAGTAAGAAATTAATCATTTAATTCAACTGTTTTTATAATATATTTATATATCTTATAGCTTATAAAGCACAACCATATAATGTTGTTTAGATAGCTGCTGACTATCTTGAAAAATAATAATAAAAAATAAACCTTGATGCAGATGGGTTTGCCTTTTTGATCGCATATATAGCAAATGGCACCGTTTTTAAATTAATAATATTCTTTTCTTTTTAAATCATTTACCTTTGAACACAGTTATATTTCAAAGATGGCAATCTGAATCACTTGCAAGGACCTGCCCTCTCTATGAGCCCCTCCACCTCAGGGGCCCCAGTGCACTGCCTGCACTGTCTATATTGCATATGCACTCCTGAAGAGCTGAAAAACAACGACCATCAATGTATTTGAATATTGTTACTTTGTTGTAGCATGCATTGTAACATTGTTACTTTAGTGTAAGATGTATTGAAGCAATAACTTCGTGACTTATAGTATAGCATTTGAACTAAGCTGAGGCAGCTTTGTGTTAAATATTCTGCAGCATTTGGGCTGTTTATTATCTGTTTTGGAATCACAGCAGTGGCAGGTCTCTTTGATAGTTCAAACACTCAATCTCTATTTTTAACCACCTGCTGCTTCGCCCATGGCTCCTCTGGCAAGCCTTCCTGATGGTAAGAGGCCCTTAGCTGCTCTGGCTTGACACTCTGGCTAGAATATGTGACACTACACGTAGTTCACTGAGACCCTTCATTATTTTAATATTTCCTGGAAATGCATTGACACATCATTCAGTAACATTTTTAGAGCCTTATGACTGAAAAGTTTTTTTGTGGTCACCATTGTAACCGATGGGATTAAAAGGGTTAACTGACAGCTCAATTTACTGGTAAAGTTACCTCACAGACAGTTATTTCACAATTGGGGCCATATAATGGATTACACATTTCTTTATGAAACAGTTGATCAGACATGAACTTTTAATGGAAACTCAGAGAGCATTGTTCAAAAGAATCAATCAGACAGCACATACTTGAAACAGCATACAGAAGCCTTGTTGAAAGCATTTTATCATTTAACATTACAGCATGGCACGACAACCTCAGTGCAAGGAGCAAAAACAAGCTCTTCAATTGATTGGCAAATTACAGAAACAATTCAGCAATGTATCTGATAATGCTGTACACAGAAAGGCTAAACATATAATTGCAGATGCCTCACATTTAGTACACTCACAGTTTGAGCTGCTCCAGTCTGGGCGCTGATTGAGGATCCCTAGAGCCAGTCGGAACATATATAAGAAGTCCTTTATTCCTATGCCATACAGGCAATGGACACAGAATGACTATAAGATATATATTGTTGAATTGTGCATTTTTAATGGTGTATTGTTTGTGTCTGTCTGTTCCTTTGATTACTGAGAGAAGCCGAAGACAAATTTCCACTGAGGTGGGCAATAAAGTTATCTATCTATCTATCTATCTATCTATCTATCTATAATTCAATGAGTTTCATTGAATAAAGAATAATGAAGTGCCTCACGTGGAGTGAGTCCAAGACACAAATCTGCTGCCTCGGTTGAGTAACCAGTCAAGACATGGTCTTGCTTGCATTGACTTTTTGACTGCTGTGATAATGCACACAGAGGAGCTGTGCTGATCTTTGTTCGCTGAGGTTTTGTAATTTCTTGCAGTATCTGTTCAGTGTTTGCTTACTCTTTACATCTTCCCCTGTCTCACCTCATGTGATGCAGACTTTAGTGCTGTGCAGGCACACTCCTATCAGTGTTTCTTAACAGTCTTGGTATGCTGGAAAAAGGAGTACAATAGATCAAACTGCGTTTAGATGCCATGGGGTTACTTGTAACTCTTCTTAAATTGTTAAGCTTCAGCATAGTGGTTTGAAAGGAGTAAAGATGAAATTCTTCACATATTACTTTCTTTTTTAACATTATTTTTTGGGCATTTTGCCTTTAATTGACAGGACAGTGTGAAATGGAGAGTGAGAGAGAGTGGGGGATGACATGCAGCAAAGGGTTGCAAGCCGGAATCGAACCTGCGACTGCTGCAGCAATGCATTGCCTCTCTACATGGGGCGTCGGCACTATCCACTAGTAATATAAACTTGGTCCAGAAAATGTACTTTTGTACCTGAAAACCTGAGTTTTTGCTGAAATTAGCATGCAAGGTCAGTAAGTAAATGATATACAATAAATGTATCAGGCTACATAAATCCTAAGTCATCTCTTCTTGGTGAAAATGGTGTTGTTACAGCCATCTCTTTGTTACAGCCTTACCAGGTCTTCCCTACTGTGTCAGATGGGATATCATGTTGGTGTGTTAATGCTATAGTTAGTTGAACTGAGTACTTTATTTAATCCTTTACAGGAAATTATAATACTCTTTTCTGGTTTTGTCTATTGTTGAGGCAAATTCAGCTCAAAACACAGAAGGTATTTCTTCGGCATTTCCCCCATGTAATCCAAATACCATTCAGCAGCAGACTGCAAGTTCATTCCTGCCCGTATTATAAAACTTCGTCATTTCTTAATCAACTTCTTGCTCATTGCTCAAATGCCAAGTAATCGGCTCTTGCTTACAGAGGTTAACACAATTTGCACTCCCCCCACCTTTGTTTCCTCTGAATAATGCCCACCTACTATTAGGTTCGCTTTGATGCCATTTTGACACCCACCCACACAAATATGGAGTTAGATTTGTGTCTTTATTACATGCAAGAAAATAAATGATATGAGAGAAAAAAATGTTTGAGAGAAAAAGTGTTCACACTGATAGCAAAAAATAATAATATTTGAGACTGAAAAAAGTTTTGAGAAAAAGTATTTTGTCATACAATATAAAAAAATGTTGAGATTTAAAAAAACTCAAAAAACTTTTTTTTACTCTCAAATATTCTTTTTTTTGCTATCAGTGTGAAAACATTTTCTCTCAAAAAAATTGTTCCTCTCAAAACATTTTTCTTCTCTCTCTCAAAAACTTAGTCTTTGCTCTTGTGTCAGGATTTTGCTTTCGCTGCGAAAATAATGTCATGGGCGGGGCCACGTTCCTATTGGCCAGTCTCAATCGAATTGACAGCTGGGTGAGGATCATCTTGGGAGTCGAATTTAACTGAATCATTCATCCACCATGGTCGATTCACCGGCATAGATGCGCTGCGTTATTTGGGAGCAGAGACTCCAATGTTTGGGTAAGATGTGACACAGATGATGAATGATTCAGTTGAATTCGACTCCCAAGATTATCCTCACCCAGTTGTCAATTCAATTGAGAGTATAAAAAAAGTTTTTTGAGAGAGAGTTTTTTTTTCTTTTCTTTTTTTAAATCTCAGATTATTTTTTTTTTATATTCTATGACAAAATACTTTCTCTCAAAACTACTTTTAGTCTCATATATTATTATTTTTTGCTATCCATGTGAAAACTTTTTCTCTCAAACATTTTTTTCTCTCATATCATTTATTTCCTCGCATGTAATAAAGACACAATTCTAACTCCATACACAAAGAACTAAAATCTATATTTGTGTGTGTGTTGTGTTGTTACATGTACTTTGTCCAACTCAGAGATTATTCACAATTTTTTAAATACTGCTCAGTTTAATGATTTAAAGAGATCAAGTGTGCTGAAATCAAAGGCAGTGTTTACTGGAGAGACATGAAAGTCACAGTTCTTCAGCTGGAAACTGGACAAGGGCCCAAGGGCTAGAGTGCTCCTAAACACATGACCATGAAACAGAAACATTTGTTGCAGACATTTTTGTTCCTACATACTTCTCTTAATGATACCCAATTACCGTTTGAGGTGAGCAGTCACCTGGTTTAAGCATCTGTTTTGTCTGACAGTAAATACATGTGTCTCTTTGTTCAGAACGTATGGGCAAAACGGCACCATCTGTGTTCAGCAGTGTGAGGACGGGAACAGAGACGGCCCTGAGCAAGCCTGCTGCTGCCAAAGCTCCTGGAGGCAGTGGGTTCAGCAAGTAGAGGCACGACAGGATACAACAAAAGCACTGAAGAAACACACCATAGTCTTGATGTTTCTGAGTCAGTGGTGATGCTGCAGGATAATGTAATGAAGTGATAGTTAAGAGAAACGGACTAGTTGACGGTAGAGTTCGTTGACATCACTGCTATGTAAGCAGTTATTGTACTTTGTAATTTGCACAGTGCAACAGACATGGAGAACAGGTTTAGATTGATGTGGCTGGTGATCTGTAAATGAGATGTGACATTTATTTATCAGTGTTGACAAAAAAAATTGCGTATTTGTTCTTTTTTTTACCTGACCATTTTCCTAAATAAATGATTTCCCCCTGTATTGAAATTTAATGACTTTTATTGGTAGTAAATCAAAAGGGGCACACAGCTTATTTTGACCTATAGGACCTCCAGTGGGTTAATCCAACCCTGGCTGGGCTGAGTAAGGTACTTAAACATATACACAAAACAAGCAACCTGGTTAACAGCAAAGCCCTAAATAACCTGCTCTGCTATGAGATGAATATATTACCTGAATATATTGCTAACACTGTATCATGACATTCATGCTGCAGATCAAGTTAAAAAAAAATCTCAATTTTGTCCAGCACTGCTCTCATACCCCTTGAATTATGTGTGCCAAACACAGCACCACGTGATAAAGATGACTCACCAAATGAGAAGCAAATAAGAGCACAGCTTGCCCAAGTAGGAAAATAATATTGTTTGTTCACAAGGTTCAGAGTAGCAAAACTGCAAATATACCAAAAGCTGACTCTGTAGTCAAGGTTGTTTGTTCTGGTGTCACATCACAATGTTTCTGATTCATCAACATGCACCATGCCGCTGGCCAGAGATGAGCACAAATACGTCAAAATGTATCTTGTTACAAAATTCTAATACTAGCTCTTAAAATGTATCAAATACTACATAATGGTATGATCATTTTTTAAAAACTAAAATAGAAGTAATTTGTAATTTGAGAAAACAAAAATGCTTCCTATACAAACTGATATTATCACAGTGTAGGCATCTAGTAGCCTCAGTATGGGTCTGTCTTTAACCCACCCACATTAAAAGATGATCTCTGCTTATTTCCTAATAAGTACATATTCTTTGGTGTACAGTCACCTGAAAATATGAATTGTCGTGCTCTCGATACCTTGGAATGAGCCGTTTATATCTACACTGAGAGGAGGTCTGAGTCCACAGAGTCCACCATGTTGCACTGAAATGTTTCTACAGCAGCCCAGAACAGACAAACCAAACACTGGCTTTGGATGGGGCAATTCACATTTTTGCAACTTTGCATAAGCCACTGTAGTGAGCAGCCCCACTGTGATGAGAGGGCCGGAAAAAAAAGTTTTTTGTTTTTTTTCTTAGCCAGCAAAATAAAAATGACAAAATACTCAAATGTGATTAAATACACATTTTAACTAATTTCAGTTGAAATACTGCCCATCTCTGCTGCTGGCCGTCATCCAGTTAACTTAATTCAAAAACATACAAGAGTGTGTCTGACTTTCTTACAGCACTCTACTGTTTGTTACCCAGTAAGTGGCGACTGACATAAACACACATGAGGTGAAGCAGCACAGGCTGCTAAGTGAAAGAGTTGAGACCAGTTGAGGGGTGGCTGAAGCAAGTATGTATCTGCTTGTAATTCACAATTACAAAGACAAGACATTCTTCTACGTATAGCCACCTTTATTTTGCATTAAATAACACAACTATTTAAACATATATATTCAGTGAATACATTTTTTATACAAATAATAGGGAATAACACAGATATCTAGCTAAATGCAATATGAACTTGCTGCTGTGACGAAATGTACTTGTGTTTGTATTAGGAAGTATTGCCTTCACTACACGCTTTCCAGCCTGAGCACAGATATTTTCTTTGAGCTTTTGCACCAACTTTTGCACCTCGGGGCCTGCTGCACATTGAGCTCAGGTCTGTAGGTCAATAATCCAGGGCAGCACACACAATTTTCGTCCCTCCCCCTGGCCAGAGAGCTGTTTTCTCAGCAGTGAAGTCAGCCACTATTCAGTGGACGTTTGGTCATGTCTGGACTGCAGGGTGTTCGACTGCTGCTGCTGTGGGGCAGAGCCTGCCTCTTGCTGCCCGGCCTGGCCCAGGGGGCTCTGGTCATCTCCGGGGACCATGAAGCTCTGCAGGTAACTTCACACACCGACCTTTTTGTACTCTGTTTCTAAAATCACATTGTTTTACAGCAGAGGTAATCATTTTATCTGGTGGTTCCTGATTTAACCACTGGTCTGTTTTCATATGAAGAATCTCTTTAACATGAACTGTGTGACTTCAGATTTTTTTTAAACTTAAATCCTGCTCAGTTTTACTATCAAATTACTCCTTCTAACCTCTCCTCTCTGTTTGTATGTGTGTGACGCAGAATGTTAAGTTTTTCTTATAAGCTGGTTCATGTTAGGTCAGTGTTTTTCTTCTAAAAATTAGGCACCATGTTGATTCACCCTGTTGTATTTGTATTTCAGGAGACAAGAGGAGCTGCCAGATCACTGCAGGTACTTTCCAGAAATTATTTACTGACAGACAGTCCTTTTATATCATGGTAAAAATGTTACACTAAAGTTGCATCTTTCTGCTTATATATTTTGATACTCAAAGTAAAATGAATAAGCCGATTCTTACATGTAGATAATTCACATCATTAAATCCCATAAAGCAACAGTTGCAGATGAAATTGCCAGATTTACAGTGTTTAATTTTGATTTCTCAACTGAAAAGAATCTCCTATTTTATTTTTTTTATTACAGAAAAGAAGTACAAATGAGGCCAAGGTAAGAAAATAATTGTATCTCTATTGGTCAAAGTGAGAAATATTCAACTGAATTCAATACAATATTATTTATCTTGTAAGGACAATGGTACATGCAGCAGCTCACCACTAAGATCAACCATGTATTGGAGAAGAAAGAAAAAACTCCATTAATGACCAAACTAACAACTAAAGGCTGTGGAAATAGCTCATCAATCAAGGTCAATAGACTCTCAATGAAAGAGAGCTTAGTTTTAAATTATCCACACTGTCCCTGTTTAGAGCATACAGCACCCAGGTTGACTCACCCAATCTGTCTCACACAACACTCCCAAAGTGGAATCAGTGACATAATGTCTTTTTAAACATTTTTTCAAGCTGTTGTAATTTTCTTTGGCATCCTTTGGGGCATCCTGCTGTGGACTGGACTCTGCTGTAAAAAAAAAACAATTTAGTCTGAAAAAACATAAATATAGCAGATCTTACAGTATTCATAGGACCAAGATACTGTATGTGAAGTGTTTGTAATCAGTGCAACCCCCAGAAATGTTTCATAGGGGTGGTCGGATGGGGCCACTCAAAATCTTGGGGTGACACATCTTAAACAAAAGCCATAACTGAATTTCAGGAATTCAATAATGCTGTTAAATTATATAGGCTTGTTGAAAACGGTCATTTTAAAAGTTAGGGAATCACATACTGATATACTTTGGCATCTTATCCACCTTACTCCAAACCCCCATGATACTTTGTGTGAATTATGGGTGCAACTTCCAGCATTGAGCCAAAACCGGGGATTTCTATTGGTAACAGTTTGTTTACAGGACTCTATTCTTCTTTCCAAGAGCCAATGGGAAATAAAACGTGGAACACACCACCTGTTATAGCTCAAATGGGATTATGTGATCATACCTCTGCCATTTCCGACAGCCATCTCAAAGCATTGTTTTTTCAACCAAGTACGCTAACAATTAGTTTGCTCCGTTAAGATATTGTAAACTTTAACATGGCCCAAGCTAGCCTAAGGTAAACATCTGCTTATTGAGAGATACTAACACATTCGGCAAACATTTAACACAATTCATTATCAACTGTAGCTCCATGTAAAGTGAATAAATGTGATGTTTCCCAACTAATCCTCCGCTCGTCTGCGTTAACAACACAGTTAACACATTTTTTCAACTTCTGATTTATTAAAAACTTCTGAGTGAAACATGATGCTGAATTTAGCAGCAGACTTCAGTAATAGTAATATAAAGTAATAGTAAAAGAAATAACTTTTGGCATTCATTTTTATATGATATAAAGGAAGTACAGTAAATCAGTAACACATTCTCAGCCTCAATTACTAATACGTATTTCAAGGTAAGATGCTGAGTTGTTTTTATGACAAGCAATTTTCTAATGTAGGTTGAGAATGAAATCAGATGGGTAAAGACAGGGATATCATGTACTAACTTTGAGTGACGGACCTGTCAGGCCAGGTGTCATTCTCTTCTGCAGATTCTGATTTAATACTTTAAAGCTATGTTTTCATTTTGTCCGTCCCATTCTTGTGAACGTGATATCTCAAGAACGCCTGCGGTGAATTTCCTCAAATTTGGCTCAACGATGAACTGATTAGAATTTGGTGGTACATGGCAAATGGACCTGCACACGTATAGCGCCTTTCTAGTCATCTGACCACTCAAAGCACTTTTTACACTACGAGTCACATTCACACATTCACACGTACATTCACACACTGGTGGCCGAAGCTACTGTACACTCACGCTCACACACCGATGCGATTTGAGGTTCAGTATCTTGTCGTCTTGTCGTATGTTGACGTATCTGTTCAAGGATACGTTGACATGCAGACAGGAGGAGCTGGAAATCGAACCACTGATCTTCAGAATGGTGGACGACCTGCTCTACCTCTGGACCACAGCTGCCCAGGTCAAAGGTCAAGGTCACTGTGACCTCACAAAACATGTTTTTGGCCATAACTCAAGGATCCATATGCTAGTAACAAAATTTCACACAAATGTCTGATAGAAAAAAATTAACAAGTGATGACATTTATATCCAGATGGTCGAAGGTCAACTTCCTTATGACACAACAATCTTCTAAAGAAAAACTTTTCTAGTCATTATTTAACATCATAGCTCAGGAGCAGAAGGGAAGACATTTGGTCAGATACTGAATTGGTGACAATAATTTTCAAACTGTGCTGATTGTAAAGATCTGTGCTGTGTGTGAAGCACTGATGTTTCCACAGGCATGGATGTAAACTGTAACTGCAACTGGTGGAGGCATACAACTGCAAGGTGCTAATTCTAGTTTCTGATTATTTTTGTGAGGGGAGCCCAGCGATAGTATCAAGGTGGCCATGGCCCTCCTTGGCCACCCCTTGGTGGCGCTACTGCTTGTAACATAGAGCTTTCCCTATTCAGTTGTGTTTCAGTCTTTCCATCTCTTCCTTCCTCTCTTTCTGTCTCAGGTGGAGGTGTACAGTGTGAAAGTGGACTGCACTGTGACGTCTCGTTTCGCCCACACCGTCATGACCTCCAAGGCTCAGAACAAAGCAAACTTCCCCCAAGAAATCTTCTTTGAAATGGAGCTGCCCAAGACCGCCTTCATCACCAACTTCAGCATGTCAGTCCGTCTCCACTCTGATTTCCACTCTGTCTGTGACACTGTTCATCACTGCTTCCACTCCCAGTCGTCCTCTAAAGCTGATGTTTCTCACTTTAATTGCCTTAAGTTGCATATTTCTCCATCTGTGTGCCTCACAGGGAAATTGATGGCCAGGTGTATGTTGGGGAAGTGAAAGAAAAAGAGAAAGCCAAGAAACAGTATGAGAAGGCTGTTTCCTCTGGACAGACTGCTGGACTGGTCAAGTGAGTCAAAGAAAATAAAACAAACACATCAACAAAGCATCAAATACACGTTCAAAGAAATATGTGAGATCTATATTTTAATGTACTAAACTGATCACTCAAACAGTAGAGGCTGTCAGTCATGCTTGTGTTTCATTGCAGGGCATCTGGAAGAAAGATGGAGAAGTTTTCAGTGTCTGTCAACATTGCAGCTGAAAGTAACGTGACTTTTATTCTGACCTACGAGGAGCTCCTTCAGAGGAAACTGGGCCAGTATGAGATTCTGACTCGAGTTAAACCCCAACAACGGGTCCAGGATTTTCAGGTGAACGCACGTCCATGTTCAAATCCTGTCTCTTG